TTTTTTAAATTAGAGTTACTCAGTTACAGTGCAACCGTGCCGTTTTACTGATGCACTGTAACTCTAAAAAGAATGGATAGGGGGAAAAGCAGTGCTACTTTGTTTCCAAAATGTAAAAAATCTGTTTAATTATATGGGATGGGGTGGGGAGGAATATTGCAGCTGGGAATGGCCAATAATAGTCTGGGATAACAGATACATTGTCTGGTTAGATTTTCTGAAATGGGAAGTACAGTAACTAATAAGGCAACCTCCCAACACATTTGCCTTGTCTAGAGAAACGCTTATTTGATTCCCGACTGATTGAAAAACTCATTTTTCTCAAGAGCAAGTGAAAGGCAACACCTCCGGGCAAATCGTGTAGAATAGGCTTACACACTGTTTTGTTTGCATTCAGTTCAAACTATACTGATAGTATCAAACCAGACTGTACCACTCTCCTTCCTGAAAACTAGGGTGGAGTTCCCAAACTCTGACAGAGTTATAAGCTGCCTCAACACAGCCCTGAAAATACCTGACATTTGGCACATTCCGATACATTCCAAAGGCAAAGTACTTGACCTTCAGAAGCAGGTTTTGTTTTGGGGTTGTTGTTTTTTTTTTTCTTTCCCAACTGCCATGCTGTAGAGGCAGTTCAACTTGAAAGTTTGTTTTCAGGAAACAAGGAAAAACATTGGAAATAAATCAGCCGGGAAAGAGACATCATACAAATGTTCCTTTCAGCTTACTGTGCTGATTTTTTTTTCAATGTTTGGGGAGAAACATTCATACATAGATGGCTCGGCAAATATAGGAAAATTTAAAGCTTGCATGTATTCCCAACATCTTCTTATGGCAGTGATTTCCATTTCTGTCATTCTAACAGTCTGTAGGATTCAGTTTGCCAATTAAGACAAAATCAGGGTATGTGATTCTTCAATATGCTCTTTGTATCCCTGAGAGTAAAATGTGTTATTATATCTATCATTCTACTCCATAAATCCCACAATATACTAGGGGAAATCAGTCAATCAAAAATAGACTAAATGATATGCACCCTTAGGGCAGTGGCTCTCAGTCTTCCTAATGCCACAACCCCTTAATATAGTTCCTGATGTTGTGGTGACTCGCAACCATAAAATTATTTTCGTTGCCACTTCATAACTGTAATTTTGCTACTGTTATGAATTGTAATGTAAATATCTGATATGCAGGATGTATTTTTATTCACTGGACCAAATTTGGCACAAATATCCAATACGCCCAAATTTGAATACTGATGAGGATTGTCATTTGGGAATTGTAGTTGCTGGGATTCCACCAACAATGGAATTGAACCAAACTTGGCACACAGAACTGCCATGACCAACAGAAAATACTAGAAGAGTTTGGTGGGCATTGACTTTGAATTTTGGAGTTATAGTTCACCTACATCCAGAGAGCACTCTGGACTCAAACAATGATGGATCTGGACCAAACTTGGCATGAATGCTCAATATGCCCAAATGTGAACACTGGTGGGGAAAATACACTTGACAGGAAAAAATGGAAGGGTTTGATGGGCACTGACCTTGAATTTTGGAGTTATAGTTCACCTACATCCAGAGAGCACTCTGGACTCAAACAATGATGGATCTGGACCAAACTTGGCATGAATGCTCAATATGCCCAAATGTGAACACTGGTGGGGAAAATGCACTTGACATTTGGAAGTTGTAGTTGCTGGGATTTATAGTTCATCTAAAATCAAAGTGCATTTTGAACCCCACCAACAATAGAATTGAGCCAAACTTCCCCCCATGACCAACAGAAAATACTGTGTTTTCTGATGGTCTTTGGTGACCCCTGTAATACCCCCCTCATGACCCTCCCAAAAGTCCCGAACCCCAGGTTGAGAAACATTGCCCTAGGGCTTTCTTCCACAGTGCCCATGGTTTACAATTTTGAACTTCATTTAGGATAACTAACTAAATGCTAACAATGAATTAAGAGGAGGCATGCACACTTTCCCCTCTTTTTTCTGCATTATTCAGATTGAGTTGAACAGCGCTTTGTGCTGTCTGTAAGCTGCCCTGAGTCCCTTCAGGGAGATGGTGGTGGGATATAAGACTAAAGTTGTTGTTGTTGTTGTTGTTATTTTGAGATTGCTTATTTCTGCCATCTAGATGGAAAAAGAAGGAGCATGGTAGGGAGTATAGAATGTTTTCAAACCCCTCCATCCTGTAAATGCAATCTTTCCATACTCCCTGCCATGCTCCTTCTTTTTCCATCTAGATGGCAGAATAAGCAATCTCAAAATAACAACAACTTTAGTCTTATATCCCACCACCATCTCCCTGAAGGGACTCAGGGCAGCTTACAAAGTGCCTAAAAGCAAACATAAAAATGAAGTACAATGTAAAATACAATAAAATAAAACACCTATGCATATAAAAGCATAAACTCAAACTCAATAAAACTGAGGTTATCAACCAGTGGAGGTAAGCTATTGTAAACACGGCCAAGCTATAAGCAATAGGAATGGAATAAGTGAAAGCTGCAACTATGGAGAGAGGGCATAGGATAAAGTGCAAGGATGTGCAACCACTGTGCAGAACAAATAGGGACTAAGCATTCTCAAAAGTTTGTTTGAAAAGCCACATCTTCAAATCCCTATGAAAGGAGAACAGTGTGGGGGCCTATCTAATCTCCCTGGGGAGGGCATTCCAAAACCAGGGGACCACCACCGAGAAGGCCCTCTCCCTTGTCCCCACCAACCACACTTGTGATGGTGGCAGGACCAAAAGGAGAGCCTCCCCGGCAGATATTGAAGTCCGCACCAATTCAAACTCATCAACTGCAATGATGTTAACCCTTATCAGATTTAACAGTAATAAAAATAGAATATCCCTCCCCACCGATTCTTTAGAATTGGAAAGTGCAGAGTCTGTTTCTGAGGTATCAATTTGTTCGGGGTCTCTCCAGAACTGTACATCCCAAGTAAGAAAATAAAGCAAAATATCTCAAATCAAGTAAGATGATTATGCCACAGGAGTTGGACAGTATTCCATAACTTGGCTGCTGAATGATAGTTAGCAGACCAAGCATTGGGTGATGGGTCAACCTTCCCTGGAAGCTGAACACAGATTAGTACTGGATGACCTAGAATGAGATCACATTAGCATTACAGAACTGGAGTTTATGTCTCCCTGTTGTCTGGTTTGCTCCTGCATAATTCTAGGAAATTTATGGTAGTTTGGGGAACTCAGGACCTCTCTAGCTGAGAATTCCGAAGTCCCCACCCTAAATTACATTTCCCAGAATTCTGCAGGAGCAAATTGGATGACAGGGAGATGACTCTGTTTTATAACGCTAATGTGATCTCATCCCTAGAGATTCCTAGACAAGTATTCTCCCTAAATATCTATAGGGAGAATACATGACCAGAGAATGCTGAATATGAAGTCATACTAGAGGACCTAGAGATTCCCAGAGATAACATTTTAATCAAATCTGTAAATAATCGAATCTGCAAAAGTTAAAATTGCAAATATGGAGTTACGACTCTAATGTTAACAATAATGGGGCTTCATTCTCACATTCAATCCTTATTTGGCCTATTATTAGACTTTAAACACTGTTTATCTATTTGTTTAATATGCTATCTTTTTCCTAGAGTGGGATCAAATTCAAATCAAAAATCACCAGAAGAGAAATCTCACAGAGAGGGTAGTCCATTCTTGTTTCCTGAATGAATAATTTCCTTGTTTGTTTCAAAGAGCATTTAAACTGTGTCAGACATAACAACATATGGTTTTTTACAAACTTGTCTATGTGAACCACACCACTTCTTCACCACTTCATCCACACATACAATTTTCCCTTGGAATTTAAGCTGCCCCCCACACAACCAAACATGCTACATAGGATGTCGTTTAATTCTTTTTAAGAGCCGCCTGATTTTCTTCTCATCTCATCCCTTCATTTTCTCATTACCCTTTCCATGATCCTGATATATTTCTGCCTCTTTTTCTGTAAATGTACAAACTATTGAAAAGGCAACTCAATGAAGAAGTGAACAGGAAAAAACAAACCCAAATCGCAGGAATTCAGTGCCTTTGAGGAAAAAAAGATTACAAGCAATCCAGCTTCTTACACTCTGTTGGTTGTACCTACAAGTATCAAAAGTAATGAGTACCACTAACTTTCCAAAACATATCATTCAGGACATATTATAGGTTGAGCATTCCTTACCCAGAATTCCAAAATCAAAAATACTCCAGAATCTGAGATAGCCCACTATATATGTTTGATATAGCAATACCTTTGCTTTCTTATTGTACAGTATATACGAAATTTGTTTTGTGCATAAAATGATTGAAAAAGATCTGTATAAAATTACCTGTATAAAGTATGTATATCACACACAAAGATTTTGGAAGAACTGTATTTGTACGTAACGAGACATAGGACCCAAATCTATCCACAAAATTCACTTATGTTAATGTGCATGTCTGTATATGTATATGTGTATATATATATGTGTGTGTGTGTGCGTGTGTATACACATACATACATACACATACACACACACACAAACATAAGTGAATTCTGTAGTTAGATTTGGGTCCTATCTCTTATTATATACAAATACAATTCTTCCAAAATCTGGAGGGAAAAAAATCCAAAAACATGTGCCAAACGTTTCAAAATAAGGTATATTCAACCAATGGGTTGAGTATGCCTTATTCTACACTGTAAGAATGAATGCATACTCAACTCTACACTGTAAGAATGAATGCAGGTTGACACCACTTTTAACTACCTGGCTCCATGCAATGGAATCCTGAGAGCTGTAGTTGGGTGAGGCATCAGGATTCTTTGACAGAGAAGGAGAACGATCTTGCAAAGTGCTGGGGAACTCAGAGCATGGCGCCACTGCAGTTAAAGCGGTGCCAAACTGCATTTATTCAACAGTGAATGCATTCTATTATTCTTATTATTATTATTCTTGATTTCCGCCTTAGCAGCATCCCTCAGACCTGATCCAGCGGGATGCCCAGGAGGTGGCTGAGCGGGTGCAAGAGGGTCGAGCCTGTGGTCCTATAGGGAATCCGGCTTCCTTCGGCCATCCTTCATTCCTCTGGACTGGAGCGCAGGTCTGGCGCGGTTTGACCAATCCCCCCGCCGCCTAGCCCAGGGCTGGCCTCTGATTGGCTACCCCAGAGCCCCGAGTTTCGCTTCCTCGTTGTGCGCGCGGCGGGCTCCCTCGCGCGCACAACAGCAGCCTTCTTGTTTGGCTCGAGGCGGGAGGGCGCTCGCTTGAGGCGCGTCCCTCGTGGGAAGGGAAGGGGAGGCGAGGGAGGCTCCTTGCTCCTCAGGCCCCACCCCGAAGGCTCCTTCTAGGCGGGGAGAGGCGGCCAGTGGTGGCGGTGGTGGCACAAAGCTCCCCTTTCTTGCCTCCAGCCTCAGCCTGTTTGGCTTCCAAGCGCTTCTGCTAACTCCACAATGCGGGGTGCTGGAAAGGAAAGCAAGCCTGTGCCCTTATGACAAGAGGGGCATCTCTATTGTAGTGTTCCGCCCGCTAAAGCTTGGTTTTGGGTTGGGACTTCGCGCCTGTTTTGATCCAGACGTGGAAAACTTGTTTTCGAGGCGACAAGTGCCAAAAGAAGGTGTTCCCCGCTCTTGCGCCTTCCACTCCGCATTCTCCAGAGCCTCGCCCGCTGGCCCAGATTCTAGTCTAAGGAGCGGAAATGCGGTTTAACGTCGGCTTCTTGCTGGAAGTTCATAGCCTGAATCACTTCCCCGCCCAACATGGAGAGGGCTGGCTGAGCAAATAGGAAGGCAAACAGGGTTCTTTGTATGACCTTCCCCTTATCTTCCAAGTCGGTTTTTCTCCTCAAAGTAACAACAATGTAATCGGAAATCGAGAGGTTGCTGCACAAACTCCTCCAACCCAACCAGTAACATGGATTGTGAGGAACACTGGGAGTTGTAGGGTTTGAATCCAGGCTATTTGTCTAATCATATACCCCAATACAGACCATTAAAAACCTTAGATATGCAGATGATACCACTTTGATGGCCAAAAGCAAGGAGGAGATGAGGAGCCTTCTAATCAAGGTGAAAGAAGAAAGTGCAAAGGCTGGGTTGCTGTTAAACTTAAAATAAACCAAGATTCTGGCAACCGGGCTAATTGATAACTGAAAAATAGAAGGAGAAAATGCGGAGGCCGTGACAGACTTTGTATTTCTAAGTGCAAAGATTTCCTGGCTGCAGACACAGACTGCAGCCAGGAAATCAGGAGACATTTATTTCTTGGGAGGAGAGCAATAACCAATCTCGATAAAATAGTGAAGAGTAGAGACATCACGCTGGCAATAAAGATCCGCATAGTTAAAGCAATGGTATTCCCCATAGTAACAGCTGGACCATAAGGAAGGCTGAGCAAAGGAAGATAGAGGAAAATTCTGAGAGTGCCTTTGACCGCAAGAAGATCCAACCAGTCCATACTTCAGGAAATAAAGCCTGACTGCTCACTGGAAGGAAGGATATTAGAGGCAAAGATGAAGTACTTTGGCCGCATCATGAGAAGACAGGAAAGCTTAGAGAAGACAATGATGCTGGGGAAAATAGAAGGAAGAGGGGCCCACTAAGGGCAAGGTTGATGGATGGTATCCTTGAAGTGACGGGCTTGACTCTGAAGGAGCTGGGGGTGATAATGGCCGACAGGGAGCTCTGGCATGGGCTGGTCCATGAGGTCACGAAGAGTCGGAAGCAACTGAATGAATAAACAACAACAACATACAGACCATCTCATGCACTGTGATCAGTGGAGGAGGCCCTCCTCTTGGTCCCACCACATCACAAGCTCAGTTGGTGGGAACGAGAGAGGGGGCCTTCTCCGTGATTGCTCCCAGGCTCTAGAACACCCTCTCTAAAGAAATAAAAATGCCCCACATCCTCCTCTCCTTTAAGAAACATCTAAAAACATACTTATGCACTTTAAGGTATGGCAAGGAGGAGGTCAAGGACATTTTAACCCATTGGCACGCTGGCTAACCCACTTGTATTTTATAGCTGCTATGCTACATCTTAAATTAATACTGGTGTTAGCTATAAGTAATTGCTATAATTAATTGCTTTGAGGGTATATGTTGCAATGTTTTACTCATGTTTTCATTTACTATGTCTTTTTGGATTTTTTAAAATTATTTTCATCTTGATGCTTAATTCTTTGTTGTAAGTTTACTGTTGTTTCTGTGCATTATCTTGTATTATTTTGGTGTGTTGGTATTCATCTGAGGCATTGAATATTTGCCTTTTATTTTATGTCTGTAAACCGCTCTGAGTCCCTTCAGGGAGAGAGGGTAGACTAGAAATAAAGTTTATTATTATTATTATTATTATTATTATTATTATTATTTAATATTATTACTCCATAAAATAAATGCAGTTTGACACCACTTTGACCATCAGGGCTCAATGCTATGGACTCGGGAGTTCTAGGCTGGATCTACAGTGCCCTATATCCCAGGATCTGACCCTAGATTATCTGCTTTGAACTGGATTATATGAGTACACTCTAGATAATCTGGGATAAACAGATAATATGAGTACACTCTAGATAATCTGGGATAAATTGTTGGAGGAAGCAACCTTCTCAAGCCCCCTCTATATGATGTTTGTCTGTTTTATTAGTATATTGTTTTATATCCTGAAATATATGTCTTATTTGTAGTTTGTAGTTTTCTTATCTCTATATGCCTAAAGCAGTGGGAGGGGCTGCAGGTCATTGACTGACTCAGTGACAGTTTAGAATGTTCAGGTTAAAACAGGATAACACTTAGGGGATGTCAGTTGAGGAATCACTGTTAGAAAAGGTTGTTGAGCCTTGAATGAACTTGACTATAAAAGTCTGTCAGAGTTCAGAACCTCATGTTAAGAAGTTGGAAACTGTTAAGGCTTGTGTTTTATTTGAAAGTACACTAAACTCTTTCAAGTAAACTTTTACTTGAAACAAACTGTTAAAGATTATAAGTTCAAGATACAAACTCTTTGAAATGTTACTAAAGTTTTTAACCCTTGTCTAGAAATGTGCCTGTATCTCCAAATTTATGAAGTTATCACTGAACAAAACTTATCTTTAAAAGAAGTCTGCTTCATTGTCTGCTGAAAGCATCAATTAGAAACAAAATATCTACATTCCTAGTGATCATCTATTACCAAATAAACTCTGCTACCCTGATTAGGTTGTGATCCTAACATTCATGATCTATACCCCAACGGTCAGTGATTGTAACAGGTCATGATCCATTATCCCCAGTATTAACAGATAATCGGGGATATAGGACAGTGTAGATCCAGCCGTATCTGGTAGAGAAGGCTAAAAACCTTGTAAAATTACAACTCTCATGATTCCATAGCACGAAGTCCTGGCAGTTAAAAATTGTGTCAAAGGACATTCAAAGTTGATGTATTCCAATAAGATCTTGGGGGCCCTTCTACACTGGCATATAATATCCAGATTATCTGCTTTGAACTGGATTATATGGCAATGCAATGTGGTTTATCTGCTTTGATCATGTGGATTATATGGCATTGTAGAAGGGGCCTGGGAGAGGTCCCATGATTGCCATCTGTGCTTCACAGTGTTATATAGGAGAAGCGTGAACATGACAAAATGTGCATTTACACTGAAGAATTAATACATTTTGACACCCCCTTTAACTGCCGTGGTTCCATGCTATGGAATCGTGGGAGTTGTAGTTTTACAACATCTTCAGCTTTCCCTATCAAGGAGAGCTGGTGCTTCACCAAATTACACATCACACGATTCCATGGCATGGAGCCATGGCAATTAAAGGGGTGTCAAACTGCACTAATTTGACAGTGTAGAACAAGTCTGAACCTCAGAGATCTGGTGAAGGGAGCAGCTTCACATGCAACCTCATTAGTTTGGGAGATGGGAGAATTAAACTAAATAATGTATAGATTATGCTTGAGAAAGGAGCCAGTGTGGTGGAATGGTTTGTGTGTTGGCCTACGATTTTGGAAACCATGGTTCGAATCCCTGTTCGGCCATGAAAATAGTGGGATAAGAATGATGACTTGTTAGGATCACAACCTATTGGGGATTGTGGATTATGACCTGTTAGGATGATAACCTATTGGATAGCAGAGTTATGGAGGTGTTCCTTTAGTTTATTGAGTAATGGATGATCTCTGGGCTCATAAATATCTTGTTTCTATTCAATGCTTTCAGCAGACAAAGATTCAAGTAAGCTTCTTTTAAAATAGCATGTTTGTTTTACTCTTAACTTCATATATTTAAATATACAGGCACATTTCTTGTCAGGTTAAACTTTAACACGTTTCAGTTTGTACGTTTAACTTATTGTCTTTAACAATCTCTTCAAAACTATATTGTTCTGTACAGTTTTCTTTCATAAGAGTCTACTTTCAAAGAATTCAAGCATCAACAGTTTTCTACACTGACATCTGATTGAAAAACAGACTTCTGTACTAAAGCTGACTCAAGGCTTGACTGTCTCCTAACTTCTAACACTGACATGTTTATTCTATTTATATAATTTTTATTTGGATTTTGCAGTTTGATACATCAACGGGGAGATGTCAATCATTGACGTATCTATATTTATTCTATAAAACCAAGACAAAGGGTAGATGGGTTGGGGTAGAAAATGGGTGGAAAGCGGAAGCCTGGCCAGGGTAGGGGAGGGGGGGATTCTAAGGGAGAGAAGGGGGGGGAGAGGGGGTGTGCAGGGATTGGAAGGTGGGGCGTGGAGTGTATTAGTACTTATAATTTATTGATTGTGTCCCGTATAGCAGTTGTTAGTCGTAGGTTTGTCATCTTCTGTGTTTCCTTTTTCTCTCTCCTCTACCGTCTTTAATTTACTGCTAGATAGTTCTTGATTGGAGACCAGTCAGTTTTCATTTCCTCAGATATTTGCTTTCTGCTAACATATTGTGTTAAAATGTCCATATTCATGATATCCATTAATTTTAGTTTCCAGTCATCTGTTGTCGGTATTTCCTCATTCTTCCATTTTCTTGCTAATACTAGTCTTGCAGCTGTTGCTATGTGGAAGAGGAGCTTGTCCTTGTTCTTTTCCACCTCGAAGTCTAGGATTCCAAGTAGATAATAGTCTGCTTTCATATCTTTCCTTAGATCTAGCATTTGGTTTGTGATTCCATGTATTTCAGACCAGAATTTTCTTACTTTCTCGCAGGTCCACCATAGGTGGAAGAAGGTCCCCTTCTTTTTCTTGCACTTCCAACACACGTCTGATGTATTCTTATAGTATTTTGCGAGTTTACTTGGTGTAAGGTACCACTGGTACATCATCTTAATCCAATTTTCCTTTAAACTGTAGGAATTGATCCATTTTATTTTGATGTTCCAAATTCTTTCCCATTCCTGTGTTCTTATAGTATGTCCTAGGTTGGCCGTCCATTTTGTCGTGTAGCTGTTTGTCTTGTCCTTTTCCGTCTTCCAGTTTATCAGGATTTTATATATTT